TATAACAACACTAATTAAAAAAACCCTCTGCATAGTGCTGAGTTAGTATTCCCAGCTCTGGAATGTAATTAGATACCAGCTGTGCTGGGTAACTGGTCATTTCCAAGCAGCTAAAGGCCCATTTGCTTCCAAAAGAGAACACAGAACAGTGGGAGAGTTTGGAAGAGGAGGATTGATACAGCAACTAAGAAACTCCCAGCCTTGACAGACCACATTGAAGCCCATATCTAATGGGGGGCAGAACATATGAAGCTCCTGTCAAGTGAATCCCAAATTCCTTCAGTTTACCATCACCACTTTACGGTGAGCAAGAGATCACGATCCTGTGCTCCTCCAATGTTGGATCACAACGGGTATCACATGGCAGCTAAATCTTCCCAGAACAAACAAATCCAAACCACAGATACCTTCATTTACAGGGGTGACCCCTGGACAGAACTTTCCCTTAATCCTAAATAGGAGGGTTTCCTTCAAGTGTGGTCTAGTGTCTTGATCATAGGATTGTGAGCAGGATTTACGGGTTCCACTCCCAGTGTTGTTTCTAACTTGTATGTGGCCTTGATCATCCCTAATGACTATAACACAGGTTTCACCTATCTTACGAAGCTGCTGCAACACAAAGTTAGAGCTTGAAACTCATGGCAAGAGAATGTGACATATTATTCAAAGTCACCCCCAAAATACCGCCTGGTTCTGAGGAGTCAGTGCAACTGAATTTTAGTTTTGAAATTTCAATCTCTTTCAAACTGTACATTAAAATGAAGTCTACATGGAATATAGCACATTGAGGCAAGATATTACTCATGCAAGCAGCTTGCACCTTAATTGCACCCTTTCCAGTTGGGGAAGAACAACAGAACACCCATCAACAAGAATTGAACAACTGAGCTGTTCCTTGCTCAAGCAGGCACTTCTTACAAAGTACGTATGGAGGAAAACCTGTCCTATTTCCCACAGAACAAAACAGACACTTTCCACTGATGAAAAAGAATCTGTCATTCACCTGTCTCAGTCTTGCTATGCTACAGTCACATGACCTAGAAGGAAATGCCCTCTAATCTACTAGTAAAAAAATGCCAATGTAAATGAGATGCTAGATGTGCCCCACCCAAAGCCTATGTTTGCTGTAGGGCAGGACTGGAAAGCTCCCATCAATCTAGTCACTAGCTAAACCACATATCTTTCTACTTAGCAGACAAGTCAAGTTAGCTGGGTTTCCATGCTAGAGGCTCCACCACACATCAGTTTCAGGGCAGCCTACAGTTTCCCCCCTAAAAAGATTCCATGTCTGACTGGTGACTTGCATAGGATTTTAGGGAATTGTCTTCCCAGCAAAGTGCCAATTGCAGCAGTAAAGATCTCAGCCATTGGGACCAGGTTCTTAAACAGCAATGGGCAACCTAGGTTAGTGAGTGGGTGGCATAAGGGGTCCTCCATCCCAGTGGGCCGCAAGATTGTCATAACCAAGACGATCTCCTGGGATAGGGTAGTTTTGCTAACTGTGCTTATGCACCTAGAATTTGCGGGGTCTGGCAATTGTATCATAATAGAACTCTGATTGGATGCAGAGGGAACACACTGCTCTCCCAGTCAACATTGTGTGCAATGAGCACGCCCCTCACTTCACCCTTGCTTAATATGCATGTCACTTTAGCAATAGCAGTAGGAAAAAATGACATGGACGGAAACCAACAGAATCTGGCAACTCTGCCTGTGGGCAACAGTAAACAAATTGTTTTGTGTGTCACATATAATCCAAATGGGTCACATGAAGCCCTCAGGCCACAGGCTGCCCACCATCGATTGAAAAGAAAGCCACGTTCCAGCACTGGGTGCATCACGGAGCTGGAGACGGACCGCAGGTATAAGCGACTCCGGAAGAACTGTAGGAGGGGCCCTGAAATGGGGTGGGGATTGCTCCAGGGACACTGGTGGAGCTGTGGGAGGAGCCAGCACTGGACAGGGGCATGGGTGCAGGTCCGGCCCTGGGCCTCTGGCAGAGGAGCTGGTGAGCACAGCAGGGTGGAAGAGCTCTCCTGTCAGGGTACCCACTCTGTGCCCCCCAAGGCTGTTAGTCTCCAGGCCCTGAGCCACCCAGCTCAGGCCAGACTGTGACCACAGCCCAGCTCACTAGCCCCTCTTTCAGCACTGGGGCCCGGGGGTCAGGGGAGCCCCTGGGAGGAAAAGGGTCAG